ATCCTATTTCAGAAACTAAACAGATAATCCTCCATTTTACTTTAAAAATAAACCCTTCTGCCTCACTTAATCATGGCTCTAAACATCCTTGGGCCAGATCTGCAGTGCCCAGAGGGAAAGCCAGCAGTTCCAGCTCCTCAGGCTCATTCTCCAGGCATCCCCAGGGGCTGTACAACTAGCAGAGCTGTCTCTTAGAGTACCCTTTGGCTACCAGCTCTGTTCTGATGAGCCCCAGCTGTGACACAAGTTCCTTAGGGGCCAGATTTGGGGCAGATTTGGCATTGGATGAAGAACAGGTTGAACTGGCTTTCAATATGACAGTCAGGACACAAAGGTGGATCAGGGTCAAATTGCCCTCATGCTGATCTGAGTGCAGCAAGCCCTTGGATCTTGATAAGCTCGATATCTTTATTCTTTTTTCCTTCGAATTAACCTGTCCTATTTTGCTTCATTCTTCCATTTTTCAAAATCAGATTTCTTTTTTGTTTGTCCATCTGCCTCTGTCTTTTTCTTCGTGGTTTTTTTTTTTTTGTTTGTTTGTTTCCAATAATGGACTTCATTAATGCTTCTTTCATCTTTTATGCCATTCCTGACATTACTTTCCTAGCTCATATTTTACTGTAAACTGTAACATCTTTCTTTTTCTATTCTTGCTGTGTTTTCCCCTTGAAATCTTAGTCCCTTCTGAGAACAACATGTTCCCCTGAAATCCCTTAAATGATGTAACAAATCATTCTTTGGACATAGTTTGACCCAGGTGTAACGTCTTATCTGTTGCCATTAAATAGTTGTTCGGCTTTGACACGATACATCACTAGTTTATGTTAAATTGACTTCGTTTTAAGTTGGGATTCAGCTCCCCTAGCACAGGCAGGGACACACTGTCTTTCTTCCTACCACTGAAATCTTATACTGTTCAAGATTATAATGATACATGCTTTGTCTCCCTTTGCTATTCCAAAGCACTAGAATCTTGGACATGTGTCTTTCCTCTGTATGCTTGATTTTATTGGGTAACACTGAAAGGAACATAACCTTGGATGAGATTGTTGTGGAAAAACAAAACCGACCTTCCCTGACATCCCTCGGAAGAAAACTCTTACTGTTTTATTGTTCTATCAAGGAATTATTGTCCAATTCTATTTCAGAGCTTCCAGACATCATAATTAAAAAGTGGATGTGGGTTCAGAAAAATGTCTTATTGTTATTTTGAGTCAATTGTGAACTCAAAACATTCTCTGACAAGAATACCAAGAGGACTCCATGAAGAAGTGGTGCTGGGATCTCTGTTACAGCATTATGGCTCTGAGGGGGACATGCCTGCACAGCAGATGAAGCTCATCCTACCAGCCCAGAGAGTAAGCAGGGCTCATTTCGTAGCAGGCTGGATTACGACTGAGCAAAAAGATCAATGAAACAATGAATAATCAATGCATCCTTGCAATATTATACTAATGCTCTTTCCTGAATGACCACTGCTTGTGTTGATTTTAACAAGTTCAATATTGTAGAGTAAGATTCAATCACTCAAGCTTCACCTATCTATCTGTGATGCAAATGACCTCTTTGGACATCTATTTTAGAATGGGATAGCTGAAATCCTAAATGTGCTTATTTGTCTTCATTGATTACAAGGGGAGTTCAAACAGGTAGCGGATATAAGGCAGGGGGTGTAGACTAGATGAACTTTCCAATCCAAACCATTCTGTGATTGCATGATCTGAACTTCTACCTTGTAGAGCTCTGCATATGGCCAGATGAACCCCATCCAGACAGATTTCTTCTCATTTTGTTTAAAAACAGAGGAGGAAACTTCAGGAGGCTGCAGAACACTACAAGGAAATGTTGGAGCAAGTCCAGAGGAGGACCACAAGGATGATAAGAGGGTTGGAGCACCTCCCTTATGAAGACAGGCTGAGAAAGTTGGGACTGTTCAGCCTGGAGAAGAGAAGACTGCGTGGAGACCTCATAGCAGCCTTCCAGTATCTGAAGGGGGCCTATAAGGATGCTGGGGAGAGCTCTTTGTTAGGGACTGTAGTGGTAGGACAAGGGGTAATGGGTTTAAACTTACACAGGGGAACTTTAGATAAGACATAAGGAAGAAGTTCTTCACAGTGAGGGTGGTGAGGCACTGGAATGGGTTGCCCAAGGAAGCTGTGAATGCTCCAACCCTGGAGGCGTTTAAGGCCAAGCTGGACAGAGCCTTGGGCGACATAGTTTAGTGTGTGGTGTCCCTGCTCATGGCAGGGGGGTTGGAACTAGGTGATCTTAAGGTCCTTTCCAACCCTAACTATTCTATGACTCTATAAGGAAATAAGTTTTGCAACATCAAAGACAATGATCATGTTTTAGAGGCAAACCCATTTCAGCAGCAAGCTGGTAATAGTCTGAATTACTTCACTGGTTCAGTCCTATTTAAACAGGCATAACATATAAGCATAGTACTTTGGTTTTATTCCTTAGTGCTTTAGGAAGTAAATACAAGTTGCCTAAACAAACAGAGGAGCTATTCACCTCAGATCCAGATGAAACTCTTGTGTCAAAGTTCCTCACTGCAGACATTTTGCTGTTGATTTTAATGACACCACAATTTTAACAAAAATTCGAATGTATCATACATCATTATTTTGATGCAAGAGGAGAGCATTTTGAGGGCTATATCCAAACCAGGCTGTAGACAACAAGAATTTAGATATATTCACGCCTTGTTTTTATGCATCTGTCTCTCGCAGAGTAGCATACAGAAACAGACTGGCCTCCAACCCAGTGCACATTGTGCCAGTCTCATGTCAATGCTTATCACAAGTCCATAGCAGGATAGTTCTGGCAGCAAGGGTAAGAGGTAATTTCCTGTTCATGTCCATCCATTAAGCATCCAAAGCTATAAGTCCCCTCTCTATGGGAGACCCTCTGGTCCTTTGTTCAAAGAGAAGAACATTCCTTCTTACGGGAAAGAGAAGGAAGAAGTGGAAGATGCAATTGTATCTGCATTTGCCCTTATACTCACAATTTTTTCTGCAGTGATAATCCAAGAGTCCAGCTTCCATCCCATGATCTGCATGATTTAGGCTCAGCTCCCAGGATTTGAGATCATGGGTAAGATATGCACATAAAAAAACAGTCTGGGGAGGAGGAGGAACCAGAAGCCAGAGTTTCTCCTTCCAGTGAGTATGGCTGGGTTGGAGCCATGCTTTTTCTCTGGTCCAGCAAAGTTTGAACTCTTCTGGCACTGTTTCTGAGGTCCAGCAAAAGGAGGGGCAAGTGCCAGAGCTGTCTGGTAGCTAGATGACTTTCCTGGGATATACATGAATTTCTGAAAGCTGCTCTCACAGCTTGGCCTAATGATCTGAATGCTAGGGAGAAGGTGGGAGAAGGGAAAGTGGCTTCTGAAGATGAATTTTATCTGAACCCAATCCTATCAGTACACAGTATGGGCAAAGATCTCTGTTCAAGGGAAGATTTTCATCTATTTATGAGCAAAACTTGCATGGTTCTGTCAAGATGGGTGCAGTCTGGGTGTGCTTTGAGACAGTCTTAAAGTAGAAGAGCATGGTACATGGTTTTCTCTTAAGAGCAGCTGTGTGAAGGTGTTTAAAGTTGCTCCTAAAGATGAAGATGGGGGCCCAGCAGGACTGGTGAGAACAGCTAGCCCCCAACACACAGCAGTGAGGCCATCAGCATGCTGTGGGAAATCTCAGCAGATCCCTGTGGTCATCATTAGGCATTTTCATACCTTAAAGAATCTGCACCCTGATGACATCTACTTTCTGTCAGGGAGGTGCCTGGGCCAGCAGCTCCTTGGGGCCGGCTCTATGTGGATTCCCCAGGGGTGGCAAGACAGGACCTGGCAGCCAGAGCCCTCCCCACAGCCCCAGCCAGGAGCAGGGCAGCCAGGGACACAGGGGCAGCCCCAGCCCTGGGCATCCACCACCTCCCTGGGGATGGAGATGGGCTGAGGCCAGGCCAGGACATGGTCCCATGGTTGAGCCCAGCTCAGTGGGATCCCATGGCCAAGCAGGGCATGGATGTGGGGAGCGAGGGACTGGCCCTGCTGTGGCATCATGACCCACAGGGAGCTGACAAGGAGTCATGGGCCATGGGCAGGGTGGGAGGAGCCCCAGGGGCTGTGCAGGGACAGTCAGGGCTCTCTGTGCCTCAGGGCCCCAACACTGCAGGCACTGGTCAGTCCAAAGGCAGATATGGTTTATATTGCTGCTGCTGTGTTACCAGCCATGCCCTCTGTTGTCCACTCGCTGCTGGGGAGCCCATTGCTTGTCTTAGCCATGCTGGGTGAAGTTTCACCCGTGTGTCTTCTGTGTATGTCTTGCCTCCACATGGGCTTGGATTTCACCCTTGATGTATAACTGCAAAACACGCGTCACTAAATCCAGCTCTAGTATGCCATCTAAGCACCATTTGGGCCTGAGAGTGACCATCTCAGCTGCGAACATATTGATTTAAACATCCCTGAAGGGAAATGTGGCTTTCCTATTTGTTTATAAGTTAGTTTTTGTGCTTCTCACAAGTAACAAAACCTTGACCGTATATATCATATTGAGTGCCAAACTGACTTGTGACTCTCCTAATGAAAATACGCTGCCCCACAGCAAAGCAGCCTGGGGGCATGTGATTCCCTGGACCAGTCAGCCACTGCAAGATTGCTTATGGTGACTGCTATAGGTGGCATAGCTCATGTGAACACACTGAACGGTGAACTCAGAATCTCAAGGTGACTTAAACGCTGTCTTTAGACAAAATAAACTCCTCAGAAACATAAACAAAGATGTTTACTCCAAATAAAAATTCGCATTCACATCATTAAGTCTTACAAAGTATAAGGAGGTCATTTTGCAAATTGTGAAGCATCCATGTGCTGCTGTTTTCATCCAAACAGCTGCCTGAGACATGCATATATTTCTCTGAATGTGCCAAGTCAAATATCCTTCTATCTACAAAGGTTTTGATTTGGCTGGTGACATGCTTCTGACACTTCCACAGTTTCATTTTCTCCGGATCTGGCAGTAGAGGCTCATAGAAAACCCCAAACCAAGAATCTGGAAAACAAAGACATTTTTGCTATTACTTGGCAGTTCTGGAAATCCCAGCATGCAACCGATACCCAGTGGGAACATTTTATTTGCAAATGTCTTGGATTTACATGCAGGCTAAATCTGCTATGCAGAAGACCTTTTCCAATCTAATTCTTGAAGAACATGACTCTAGAACGCGGCCATTTTAATGAAATCAGTATGTACCACAGGTAGGAATGTGGACATGATGGAAAACTTTCATTTGTTTAAAAGATGGATCTTCCCTGTGGATGGAGAACCCTGTAGCTCTGAGAGTTTAAAATGCAGTTGTTACCTGCAATGGAGCGGCAAACACTGAGAAGTTCAATAAATTCCAACAAAAATTTGATTTTTCAATCTCTAAGATAGTTGGAGGAACTTTCTGATTTCATTGTGTATTATAAGGGTTTTCTCCAATTGGAATCTCTCTTCCACTGTCACTCTCTTTACCGTATGTGTAGAGGCATACACATGTATATGTATACAGGCATACATCTACACACATAACCCACCATTTTGAGTGGCAAGTGTTCATGCAACAAATATTTTATATTCATTGGTAATAGATTTGGGATAGAAACATTGAGTCCTCTAAAGAAGCTGTTGCTTGAAATATAAAATTCAGTAGGGTCACTTTTTTAGTAGTGGGAGTTACTGTGTGGAATGCGCAGCCTGGCACAGACAGCTGGTGAGATCAGATGATCGGAAAGCTTCCTTCTAGATTTAAAGTTAACCTGTCTGTGAAGGTGTCTCACAAAAGTGGAAAGTATCCAATTGGCACTTAAGAAAACATGAACACCAGGATGATTCATTTATTTAAGGAAGAGACAGTAAAGAGCATACAGAACGCAGGGGTACTGCTAAAAGAAGGGCATGGTCTCAGCTGAAAGAAGCTGACAGGGCTTCCCTGATATACCATGCCCTCATTTTCACTTGTGCCTTTCTTCTCGGTGTCATTTCCACTAATAGGGTGAGCTGAAATCATTAGCAGCCCACAAATGGGACAATGGAGCAGGCAGATGGGGGAGCACTAGGGAAGAGCACTTTTCTTTGTCCCCTTCTTTTTATCTGGGGTTTTCAAGAGCAGAGAGATGGCTAAGCATGTGGCCTTTGATTTACAATTACTTGAGAAGTCATAATACGTTAGTATCTTTGAAAAGGCTAAATGTTTATCAAGTGTAAATTGCCAGCTGACAATTTGTACCAGCTGAGGCTCATATTGTTTATTCGTGTTGTTTTCTAATCCTTTTATGATTGGGAGGGGCAGCCACCACAGAAAATGCCAACTGGGGAACAGGGAAGAAGGTTGGCCAGTGAACTAAAGGCTGCAACTCATGTAACTGTGGTAACTAGAGCAAAGTGACTCATAACTTACCTTTGGGAAACAGATGCAATTTTAAAATTCTTTTATATTTTAAAAGGCCTTTTAATATAGGTGTATTTCACCTACTTCCCCCCCACACGTTTACATATAGGTGGGAGACCTGACCTCCCACATATAGCACCTTAAATAACATGAAACCTGTGCTGAGCAGGAAGTCAGTGGCCTGTCCTCTCCCAGTGCTGCAGCTGCATAACTCTTCCCCGCCTACTATTATTTTCCTGGAAATGTATTTTTGAGTCGAGGCTCCTTCCCACTTTTCTACCACGAGGAGCAATCCTCTGCCAATGTTGTTAAGAAGCTTTCACTTGGAATGACAGACCGAACTCTGCACAGCAATCTTCGTCATTTCTGCTTTTCCCTCAAACAGCCATTGGTGTGGGGTGGGTGAGAAGGGAAACCACAGAGGAATAGTGAAAAGAAAGAAAATGACTGAAGAAAGCAACATGATGAAATCCCCTGTTTCTTTGTCATTTTCTCCTAATCAAAGCCTATCATTTACCAAGCCGCTGACTGGATAAACTCACTGTTTTAACTCTTCTCTCCAGAGAAAATTTTGCATGTTATTCTTCAGTGTATGATGAAGCAATTAAAATAAAGAACTCACATATGCTGGTTTTTTTATACACAGGAATATATGGAGCAGCACAGGTGTTCACTCAGGCACATTCACGCACAATCTTGATAGCTAAACTATGCCTCAGAATAATAATTTTGTACCATAATTTCTCTGTGATAAGAATTTGCAATCTAGGGGACAAGTTTTCTTATAAAATGACTTTTTTCTCAAGCAAAGAAGTTAAAGATGAGGGAAAACCCAACTATTCTGCACTGTGTCTTCTGGGGCTGGGTATCCACACACCATCTCTCCACAGGGCTCATTGTCAAGGCACAGCCTGGCTCCAGACTCAAATCTTTGCACAAGAAGTCCCATGTGAAACACTTATACAGGCAGCAGGGTGGTCTGATCACACATGAAGTTCACCACTCAGCAGTCGTATATTGTTTATATGGAATAACTGTAAGATTATAGCTAAGGTGAGAGGTGGTTTTCCCTTGTCTATTAATTGAGCAAGCCAGGTGTTTTAATCCCATTCCCAGTGTATTTCTAGGTAGAACATATTGCTTGTCAGCTACTAAATATTTTAATGGTGTATACTGGTACCTCAATAACAGCCAGTCCAAAGGCAATCCCCATAATTATGAGCAGATGGTCTTTAAGGTATTCGATAATCACATCTCCACAAGGCTGAAAAATAAGACAAAATGATTAATTATAGGTAAGCAATGTTATCCTAAGGTTATTAGGAATACATCTTCTAAGATAGATCCTTTCACAGTCTCTCCAAAGAAATTCTATTTGAATTTACTCTGGCTTGTTGGGATAGACAAACACAAAGGACACAGCTATATGTACCATGTGCTCTGAGGAAGATACCTAGTTTCTGCCTTCCTAAATATGAATATGAATTTAGTAGTTGACCGTAAAAAGGTACAATTTCAAATGAAAATACAGACCTGTAATGCCTAATATTTGCATGATTTTAATTGACAAGGAAAGAAACATTATTCTTACTTTCACTTGATAATCATTTGCTGCCAGGAAAGAGCCAAAGCAGCAACAATCAGATTTGAAAGAGAACTTTAGTTTCCCACTAATCTGATTTTTGGATTTGAAACTTCCAACTTATTACTAGAATTGGGCTCAACTAACAATATTCAGATATAAAACCTAGCTTAAAAATTAGTTTTGACAACTGTTTAGTGGTCTTAGGGTGCAGCTGGGAGGAAAAGAGTGATCATATCTGAAGGTCAATACAGACCTGCTCTCCTTTTTAATAGATGTATACATCTGTTCTTATAATGACTACATCTTCTCCAGGCATTGACAATACTCCTTTTACTACTGACTGTAGGGAA